TTATTTAAACTGACTCTCCCAATTAAAACTCAGACACTTGTGAAACTTTCATTTACACTTTAGGGTGGAAACGAAATAAGTAGGAAAACAGTTATTATCATCTTCTGATGAGGTTTTAAAACTGGTAGAAAAAATGTGCTGCTCAGGCACAAGTCAAGATCAAACTCACAAGTCTGACAGTTTTAAAGAGATAGAGGTGCATGAAAGCAGCTGATCCAGAAGCAAGAATGCTACTGCTGTGCTTAGGGACAGAGCACATCAAGCAGAAAGCCAGGACAGCATTCTAAGGCTATTTGCTTGTTTCATACACACTTGCTACTTTTCAGAATATAGGAGCAAGTCATGGGGAAAAAAAAATAAATAAAAAAAAATCTGTAACTGGCTTTAGTGACAAAAATCCCTTGCCATAAAATTAGTTTCCTGACTGAAGACCATGTCACTTGCTACTTTTCAGAATATAGGAGCAAGTTATGGGGAAAAAAAAAAAAATAAAAAATCTGTAACTGGCTTTAGTGAGAAAAATCCCTTGCCATAAAATTACTTTCCTGACTGAAGACCATGCTGTCACTGCTGTTATTAATATTTGCATAGCTGTCAGAAGCCCAAGCTTTATGACTGCTTACTACTTCAGGGACCACTGACCATTATTTGAGGTTCAGGCTGCAGTCTGAGTTACTGCTTTTCAATAAATGTTACAGCCTTCAAATTCCATTACCAGTAGAATCTGAATTATATCTACTCTCAGAATAAAATAAAAATAAGCAGAAACAAGTTACGAGGCTCAGTCACATACTCTGTTCAGAAATCTAGACTATTTAAGACAACAGTATTTTCTCAAGAAGTCCTATTTAACACAGATATAAGATGGGGTACACCTAAAGGGTTGGGACTGTCAGACACTCAGTCAGTTGTCGCGTTGGTAAGACTGGATGATATATCATGTCCTATTACTCAGATACTTGAACCCCTACCTCTGTAAGTCTGGAATAGCAAAGCTTAAGGGTCTGTATTCATCTTTACTTCCCAGTCAGCTCTGCATTACAAGAAATGGAGGAAAAGTGCATGGGGTACACCTAAAGGGTTGGGACTGTCAGAGACAGTCAGTTGTAGGGTTGGTAAGATGTCCTATTACTCAGATACTTGAACCCTTGCCTCTGTAAGTCTGGAACAGCAAAGCTTAAGGGTCTGTATTCATCTCTACTTTCCAGTCAGCTCTGCATTACAGGAAATGGAGGAAAAGTGTGGTATAAACTCCTCCAATAATTCAACAGGAAAATATACCTGACACCCAACAACAGCCCTCTTTGTGGAAACAGCTCTAAGCTGAAGATGTCCTACATCACCATCTTTCTAATGACCCCTTTTGCAACTGTCACATTTCTGCTTCTCCTTTGATGTCAAGGAAGAAAAAATCTTATAGCTAAATGAAATGCTTTTAGCATCAGGGAATTTAAATGTAGCAGCTTCCCCTGAGGGTTGCAGAGCTCTCTTACTGACTGAGCACCCAGCTGCATGCCCACAGCCATTATGGACAGAAGAAGGGCGCTGAGTAATGGGAACCTAGAGTGCAATTTTATATAGAGAGAAGAACTTCACCTGAAACTGAAAATTTCCTGCATAGTTTCTATGGTTGGCAAGTAATTCACTGCTATGTAGTGCTGAAGAACTTGTATTGTGAGGTCATTAGGCTCAGAAAAATAGAATGGGTCACTGGGTCGTTGCTTGTGAAGTATCACCACAGAGCAGCACATCCTCAGGATTGTTGTACAGACACAACCATCACACTTCTTTTTTTCAAGTCAGGAAATGGTATTTCAAAATAAAGTATTTAGCATTTAGAATCACTGGGGATTTATTAAGATTTAGGAAAAAACCTCCAAGCTTGCTGAGTAAGTAATATGCATAGTAAAAGTACTTCAGGAAGCAACCGTAAACCGTTGAGCCAAATAACCAATCACCTGCTGGGATATACAGTTCTTCCTTGTAGTCATGGGAATCTTGAAGATGAATGAATGCAAAAATAGAGATAATATAGGTAAATTTGACAGAAAATGAAACTAAGTGTCTTGTATAATGAGGACTGCTGTTCCTTCTCCTATAGAACATGAAATGGTAAGAGCAGTAACTCCAACACCAACAGCCAAACATTCCCAATAAAAGACACAAGTACTCTTAGCTCCAGTGCCAGCATAAGAGGAGGTATAAAAGGAGAGTGTTAAATGCTTATCAACAACTTGAAATATCAGTTAGAAGGGAAGTAAGGTCACTATTTCTGCTTCCTTAGGAACTCACTCCTTATATAATCTATTCTTCACAAGTCACATGGAATAATGTAAATACAGGAGCCTGATACTCAGATTGTATTTGAAAAATGCCAGAAGTGCTGAAGTAAGTATCTAGTTCTCCACAAAATTATTATTTAAAAGGTATGTGCCAAATTTCATGCTGATATCTTGCTTACACCTATCAACAGAGTACCTCTCAAGGAAGCCACAGTAATTTCCTTAGCTCTAATAGGATTAAAGGAAACTTTCAGTGCTGAGCTTATATAAGATATCACAACATTTTTAACCAACACAATCTGACCAATGCAGTGTGACTGCACTAGTAGAAAGGACTACAGTGCAAAATAGTTTGGTGTCTAAGACCATTTTATGCATAGGCCAACCTCTGTGACACCCAAAGCCCTGCACTAGAACACAGAGCTAACTCTCTGACCACCACAGAAAAGCAAAGGTGGTTAATTCAGGAAAATAATTTCTAGACCATTTGCAATTTCATTCAGAGACCATCTAGAAGAGTTTCCTCTTGTAAACCAGAATCCAGCAGTACGTGACTCTCCTGAAGAGTCCTTCCATCAGTATAACAGTAACATCATTTTTGTAAAAATTATAATTTTTAAATTGACACTTTCTAATACAGTAACAGACTGATATCAACCACTTTTCCATATTGTGAAGGTGAATTCTGGAACACTAAGAAAAGAACATATATATCTTAGCAATGTGAGCCTATTTAGTACTAGCCTTGGAAACTTCAGCCTCTGGATGGGGATAAACCATTACTTCCCTCTCTTTAAGTCCTAGAAGGCACATATTTTTTTAGATTTCTATGATATACAGAATCATAAAGTTAACATATAAAACTGAACTTGTTTTCTCTGAAAAGCTCCCTACTCCATTTATCATATGAAGATCTTATCTACTGCCAGAGCACAGAACATAAGAAGCCTATATGGGTAATGTGAACTTCAGATATTTCCTTGGAAAAAACAAACCACAGCATAAAAAAGCTGAGAGATAAATAATACTTCTGTTGATTTAGGAAGGCAAATACAGAGGACAAATATTAAGATCCTGAAACAGTTTTCATAATCGGACCTCAGCATTCTTTTTCCACTGCATAAAATTGGAGTGACTTCATCTCCAGGTTTAAGTATTTTTTTTAATGAAAAATTAGCAGCACAGGAAAGGAATGCAATACTCCAGCACCATCACCTCTGAGACAACTGTCTAGTCTGAGGAATTTCAATGTGCCATAAAAATTAATTTTAAAAAAAATAAAAATTCAGTGCAATTGCAACAGATAAGGAAATGTCTGATTTAAAAATAATAATCATAAAAAAAAAAGAGGCATCTAACCAATGACCAGGAATTCCATTTATTGAACATTAAAACACATTGCCATTAAGGTGCTATACTGCAATCTGAACAGGACAGGGAGAAGTTGCAATCTGCCAACATCTGACAAAGAGTTGTACATCTTAAGAATGCAGCACCTTAATAACATTGGTCTTACAATGATGATATAGGCACCTTCCAGTCTTAAAGGTAAAAGGAGCGTGCCATGCACTTTCAGCTTGAATTGCTTCCTGGTGTTTCTTTAGGAAGGCTATTTGGCACATGAAGTTGTTCTGTCCTTAAAAAGTCGGATTAGTAAGTGTAAAAAAAAGCAGTTAACCTTCAGGGCTTTTTCTCTTAAATAGGACATGCATAAATGTTAATAATTTACACCAATTCATCCTTCAACACTGTGTAACATTTATATTTACATTTAAGATTCATGTATTATTAAGAAAAGTCTAGCGTTATTTAACACAGGGATATTTCTCCACCAGTTTACTTAGAAGATGACTGATTTAACCCAGGAGACTTCTCTGCACATTATTTTATCATTCATAGATGTGTGCGAGTGTATATGTATGTATTTTTTTCCCTACCAAAATGGAAATCTGTACAATATTTGTAATTACAGTTAACTGGCAAGAATTTTGAGCTCATTCCAGTTTCTTGAGTGAATCGCCAGGAATTATGAAATTTTATTATCATTTAACAATTTATTTTTAATAATTAATTCCATAAGGCAGCTATAGCCAAAAGCTGGTCATCCATGTAAAGAGCTCCCTGACTGCTGCAGGGGACACAGCATTTACAAATGTAGCTACAGGAATGGTAACTGTAAATATTGCTGAGACCAACCATCATTGCATTGATTTTTTTGAGTCTGCTGCTGCACAGTATCTTACTATTCCAGAAAACACTCAGTGAAATTGATTCAATGAAGTCAAAGAAGAATATAAATTCTAATCAAATACACTCAATGTTAACTGAAGTTTGTAATATTGCAGTATGGTAGGGACATGCAACCTTTAAGAAATTCAGAGGCTAAGAAAGCTAATGGTAACTGGAAGATCACACACAAATATGTAGGTACATAAATACATACTTGTGTGCCCTCTTTTATGTATAAATCTAAATGCATAATATACATCACAGATAAACATTTATGATCAATGATTTTAACTTCAGATTCTAGAATCAACAGACTGATTCACTACAGAAAGCTCAAGCATCATAACAGAATTCCTATGCACAGAAAATAGAGCATGCAAAGAATACTGTTTTCTGTCTGAGCAAAGAATGCTTTCTGACTGAAAACATGAAATTCAATGGGAAGCTAAGAAATCAACATCTTCATAAGCACAGAACAGTCACACTAACCTGTATTTTGATTGGCCAGGAGAAATTGCTGACATAGACGTAGAAAGTGATGTTTGGGTTGCTCCGAAAGTTGAATTTTTCACAGGAAAAGCTATCCCTGTATTCCTTAATGTTTGCCTTAGAAACAACAGGAATCTCTTCTCCAGATATTGTTCCAGCTAAAAAAAAATAATCCCATATATATGTATTTATTACAAATATTAATCAACATGAAAGGTGTCAAAGTAAATTTGCACAAGAAACTTAAACTTTTTAATTACTTCTGGTTTCTTCAGGCTGCAACTTTAATAACCCTTTATTACAGTTTACATGGCACATCAAGTATATTTTATATTCCTACAGAGAATTCACAGAAACCCTTACTCTGGTTTAAAAAGATAATGAATGAAGCATAAAATATCTAGAAGTAACATTGATTTTATGAGGAAGTTCTGATGGTCAGCTAAACAGATATTAGGCTTTCATCTAGTAATTAACATTCTATTTCAATAAAAACTCACAGTTTAATAAAGCATGAAAGTGAATTAGTCTACATCTTACATTTTTGCTGTAGAGTTTTAATTGTTCATGAAAGCTTTAAAACATATCTACTACTAAACACGTACCATTTTTTGCAAATATATGGGTGACAGTGCTAAGTTAAAATAAAAGAGGATTGGAACCTGATAGTCTTTAAGTTCCCTGATAATCTTAAACATTCAATGATTCTATACTATGATTCTATTCTATGAATTTACTATTATATGTTAAAATACTTCACAATTACATGGATGAAGAAATTAATGAGTTTATGTAAGACAAGCTCTAAACCTCCTTTAAAAAGGTTTTTTTAATTTCTATTTTAGTATGATTTAATTTTAAGCATCATGCTTCTCCTTGGATGTGTTTTTAGAAAGTCAATAGAACCAATTCATAGAAACTGTCTAAATAAACCTTTTTATCCTTCCTCTTAAAACAAAGAAGAGTAATCGGGTTCAAAGTTGGAGAAAAATAGATAAGCAGGTCCTTTTATCAGCATACACAGAAGAACTTCATTGTTTGATATCAATGTTAAGGTTAATAATTATTTTTTTAGCTTGAACACTGAAACAAAGAAATCAAAATCTCAGTCTCTGCAGTAGTTAAGGAAGCAATTTATCTTAATTAAAATCACAGCATTTCATAACACTGTCATTTTAAAAATTTAAATAGGCTACAAGCTTTTCCTACCAAAGTAATTTTAATTGAATGAGGGAGAAAGTTAACATATTAATGAAGCCTTGTTCAGACTGCAAATTATCATCTAAGGTTTAAATAATATAATCAATAATGGCATGATGATAATGGCAAAAGAACACATTTGGTAAAGTTTTATTATCAAAATTAGCAACAAAGAGACAATCAGGTTAAAATAGCTTAAAGGATCATGACATCATATGGGAAAAAGTCATCACACCAAAATTCATGCTCACCTGTAGAACCAACAGACCATGTAATATTGAGGTTGAAGTTGTTTGATGCATTAATTGATATATCCAAATTTTTATTTGACTGGATAAAAAAAGAAAATATATTGAAGTGAACAAAATATATCAAAATGTATTGAATAAATATTGTACATAACTGAATATAGCCTTTTAATCATCTCCTGGTTTTCATTTTAAACATATATAGTAATGGTAATCATTCAGAACCAAAGGCAATTTTCTCTTTTGCTTCAGTACAAACAGGGTACTACTACACACAGAATTACACCAGGTATCTTTTCAGATTGTTATACAAATAATGAGACTTTTTTAATATAAAATGAAAGAAAAAAACACATGGCAAATGGCTACATTTTAATTACAATTTAAAATTACTTTCTCATCTGCTAATCAAGATTTCTCAACTGATCAGTGTACTATTTTTATCATCTCAAGAAGCTACTAACACTTGTTATCCATGGGAACAATAATAAAACAAGCCAGCTGATATTTTTTTGAGTAATAGTTGAAGTACATCTACCATGTAGAAAGTCTTCTCAGTGAAGACACTGGAATAGTTTTTGATTTTCAAAGAGCTTTGAAATATTCTAATACCTTGTAGGCACTTGGTAAACCTTTAATCATGGTCAAATAGAACAGAAACATTGATCATGACTCTCTAAAACTTGTCTAAAGTTAATAACGTTTTCTTACCTGTTCTGGATTTGCTATGAAGTTTATGGCAGTGTGATGGCGATCATCCTCTTGTAACAAGCTGAAGGTGAACTGGTAATCAATCAAAAGGCTGTCTGTGGCCAAAAGAGAATAGAAAAATAAAACAGATTTCAAGTGTATACATATTAATTACATGCTATGCAAGCACCTAAAAATTTACTGTTCACTTTTATTTTAAAAAAACACCAAGTAATATAAAGGCAAAATTGTTCACAAGCATTTCGTTGTTTAAGTATTTGCACAATAATGTCTTGAAGCAATAAAAAAATAACAATTCAGTGAAGCAGTTAGAAAAATAATTAAGAAAAATAACTAAATCACAAAACATTCTATCATGGAGTCAGAGCAGCTATTGCACATATCTTAAAGCAGTCATTCTTTGTAATTATTCCAAAATACAGTATCAAGCATTGTAAGTGTTACCAGTTCCCTGATTTACTCTGGAATAATTATTCTAATATTCTGATCAAACTGCATTTAAATATTTTTGGTTTACAGTTATACACTTTACTGTGTTATATAAATGGTTTACTATTATAGATACATTACTCTTAACACATTTCAGACTTATCAGGTTTAAAACTTTGGAAAAAAGCTGCATCTACAGTAAAAATTATATAGTATGGAGACACCATACCATAGTAAAATAAGATTGTTAAACATTAAAATGGCACAGTGGAATTCTGAATATATAAATCATGTGACCACCAAGCACATCCTTTCTAAATTGCCATATTTCTAAGAGATTCTGTAAGTGGCAAGGGAAATACATTTTTCACACAAGAGAAACAAGAGGCAGTCCAGAATTGACTCAAAAAGTTTGTATTTCACTTTCAAATGACATTTGCTCTGCACATTTTTTACTCAACTTGTGAAAGGAAAGGGGTCTGCCAGACAGTTCCTGTTCATGCTGTTTCTGTCCTCCAGCAGCACTTCCCTGCCAGCCAGATAAAACTGGCACAGGTGCAAGAGGATGAACAGGCTCAGATGACCCAAACCATGCTTAAACCTTCTGAAGGACCATAAAATGATTGAGACAAGTCAAAGGCCATAAATTTTGAGCCCTCCCATTGTGTTCCTGAATCTGAAGGACTGAGATGAACTCCTAGATAGGTCATAGCACTAGGAATGACTGAAAAGGAACTCTTCTGAAGGGGCAAGGGGACTTCTAAGGGTAAAACAGATTTTCAGCATCTCCATAATGTAAGGAAAAGACCCAGTGATCAGGGATGGCTGCTGCTGCAGTTCATAGAGGGTGCCATGTAGAATCCCAGCAGCAGGGTTCACTGCAGTCACACAGCCAATAATCAGCAGAGTCCTCAGAGGTGTAAATTGTGTTGGTAGATTAATAACCCTTGTGCATCAATCAGGTGTGAACCAGAGGTTGCTGTGGTGGATGGATCTTGAGTGCTCTGCTACAGGGTCAGGTACTTGCAGATCTAACAGAATAAATCTTCTACTTCTTTGACCATTATGGCCTTACAGAGACCAGAAAATTCTGTTTTTTCTTCTGTCACAAGAAATCAGGAGGTGGCTTGCATGTGTACATTATTCACATTATTATTTTGTGCATGCTAAAATATGGTTAAATGCAAGTAATCTTTGATGCTACATCCTAGTGAATAACTTTGAAGTCCTATTTTGATCCCTTTCTTGATGACATTCTACTAGTCAGCAACATCACATGAGCCCTGTGTAACAAAAAAATACGTGATCATAAAAACAAAATCAGTAAATATAAAGAGTAAATCATTAAGTCAAAGAAGGAAATAGCTGTGTCAGCCTTTTGTTGGACTCAATTGTTTGCTTAATGCTGACAATCACCTTTTCTGCAGCAACACATCATCTGGAAAAATACACTCTATTGTATCCCATGGGAAGCTTGACATAGGAGGGAAAAAGCTTACTGGTCAATGATGCACAAATACAGCCTACTGCATTGTCTTAATAGTTAAAGAAAATGGTTGTGGGTTGTTTTCTTATCATGAGTGTGGAAAGAAAATTAGAAAATAAAGGAGTTACATGAAAGGAATTTTCATGACCTTCAAAAGCTGAGAAATCCACTTTCTCAATTACTCTTCATCCTAGTTCCATTACTCAAATAAGTTGATCTAGATGCCTTAGATAATGAGTTTGGATCAGGTATTTGCAAGCTTATCAAGAGAAAAGACTGATAAATAGTAAATTAAAAGACTCTATTTATCTATTAGTACTACTCAACACTTCTATAGCTATAGAAATCTAAATAATAAAGTCTCAAAACTACAAAATACAAGAAGCAGTGTAGAGCCTTCTGGACAAGATATTGTTGATTTGCTCATAATAGAGGGAAAAAGAGTATTTAAAAATGCCATGGGCCTCCTCTAAATTCAGCTTGTGCCCACTCAGAGATGCAGAGTATCAGCCAAAGATTAGCAGTGACAGATCTTCAGATCTCATCATAAGACAAAGTTGTGAATAGACAGGACATTTGTCTCCCAATTATATATGAACAAAGAGCTTCTTTGCATAAAAGTTTAACAAAATTCGAAGTAATTTACTCTTAAAACTATATGACTAGGAGGGGTTTTGCATTTTTTTTTTGTTGCTGCTGTTGTTTTGCTTGTTTGTTTGCTTTTAAATTTGTTTTCCTTGCTGTAAGCCAAGACAATGGGAACCTGTTTTTCAAGGATTGCAGGAAAAGTCCTTATATTAAAAGACATTAAACTATACAAATTCTCATAACTTTACCATCTGTAACAAATCAGAAAAGTACTGCCACTTTTTTTTTTTTTTTTAACCTATATTTTTACCTACAACACAGTTGCAACACTATATCACAAAAAACAGTAAGTCGGTTATATAAAGCACCTTTTATACACAAGATGTCCCAAAGCATTTTATGGAGGAACTCTATAAAGTAGTATCACTGTATTAACAGTAACAAAGATAGCTGCATGTCCCACATAGAAACTATGATCTCCTTTGTGGGACTCGGAGACTTTAATACTACTACTAACTGCTACAAGTGCTACTAACACAGTTTGTGTTATTCAAGAAGAGCTCTAAGACCCAACACATGGAACTCGCCCTGGAATGCTTCAAAGGAGCAAAAGGACCTTTAATTTATGCCAAGCCAGCCGTTCAAGTGGGAAGAAAAGACCTTTACCAAACTATTCAAGAAGGAGCAGATTTCTTCGTACTCATAGATATAAATATGAAGTTTTTATTCTATAAAGAGCTGCAGTAGAGAGGGACAAATCATTAAATCTCTACCTTGGCCACAGAGTGGGTGCTGCAAAGCAGAAAAAAAACATCTCTTCACAGGCAATTCTAATTCAGGGAAGATACCTAAAGTGTGTGCAACTTGAATGAAGCGGAGAGCACTGCCTAGTGCAGTTATATGATTCAACAGTGTCAGTGAAGTCAGGTGCAAATAGAAGAGCTGACACTGAGCAAACACTCCTTTCCATCTTTCTGAGGACTGCAAAAGTATGCTGAAGAAGATTCACAACTTAAACGAAGGTTTATTTTCATAGTAAGGACACTTCTGGTTGGCTAAAACTTGGAGAAAGATTTGCCTGGACCTATTCTTAAATCAAACATCCCAAATCTCTGGAAGGGTCTAAAGCTATATTAGAATATGAATTAGCAGAACTAAGTCTCTCCTCCTGTTGCATCCTGCTGCTTGTCTTTCTGGCTCTCCTTCCTCCCTCTCTCCATCTGCTTCAGCCTATACCACAGGACGGGCTTCCTCCACATGTATTCAGCAGCTCTCCAGGAAAATACCACCTCCCTCTCCTCCAGAAGGCTTCACCTTTTGCAGACTGCTGCAGGCAGAACAGCTTTCCTCCCCCCTGACAAGCCCCAGTTCAAGCATGACCCTAAGACATAATTTATGCCAATGCATTAGAAGTGCACATAAACTAAGGAGTTACACAGTACATCACACTGTATTTCCCAATTCATAGAGCCATTCAGCCCAGACAGCTTAGCCTGGAAATAAATAAAATATTAAAGTGAAAGTCAGTTGTAAGAATACAAACTTCTGAATAGTTAAATGTATAAATAACCAAATGTATAATAGCTAAATGTAGAAACAGCTACTTAAAGTACATTTAGTCTATACGTTGTTGATGCTTATTGTTGTGTGTATTTACAATAAGGAATTTAGAGAGGTCCAAGCTGTACTACATGTATTTTTTATTTCCAATTTAAACCTTCAAAATGCCACCATAGGTATTTTTGCCCCTTACATAAAAACATGAAACTTTTCGTAAGTGCTTCTATTTATGAAGACACACACAGAACAGATTGCTTCAATTAAGAAAGAAATTTGGATCACATATAAACCAAAAAAAACCCCAAACAAACAACCCCAAAAAACCCCACCTCACTGCATTTATATTCTAATACTGGATGACAATGAAAGCAGTAAGATAACAAATAATAAACATCATCATCAGACTGCCATATGAGCAACATCAGATAAAAGCAATCTTCTCATTTTCTGAGTGACCTAGAGAATCAAGATTTTTAAACTATTTTCAAAATCTGGTCAACTATGAAAATAAACCAAAACAATTCAAACAACACCCCCATAACAGGTAGTAATCAAAATATTATTAATGGCCATTTACATACAAAAATTAAATATACAAAAGTATAAAATTATTTCAGTCAATTATAGAAGAAAATGGTTGAGTCCCTAGAAGTACTATTGATGCACTCAGTGGTACACTCTGGTGACTCCTTTTCTGAAAGAATTAAAAAACCCTAGGATATGAATCCCACCACTTTTAAAATTATATTACCTCAATATAAACTTAATTCTCAACACATTTTAAATCCACAAAGTGTCAATTAGCTGTAATGATTTTTTCCAAAGAGACTACATAGTTAACTATCCTGAGCACAGCACAGACTCTTAACTATGGAAAAAAAATTAATGACATTACAGAATGAGTGGTACATTCTTCTATTTTTTTAAAAAAAGTTAAGTCAAAAAGAAATTATCTGAAATAAAGTTGTGGGGTTTTTTACAATTATTTGCTCATCTACATATCCCCAATCTTGGAAATATGCAGAACACAGT